GAGTGAGTGAGTGAGAGTGAGTGAGTGAGAGTGAGTGAGTGAGAGTGAGTGAGTGTGTGAGTGAGCGTGTGAGTGAGAGTGAGTGTGAGTGTGAGAGTGAGTGTGAGAGTGAGTGAGTGTGTGAGTGAGAGTGTGTGAGTGAGAGTGAGTGAGAGTGAGTGAGTGTGTGAGTGAGAGTGAGTGAGTGAGCGTGTGCGAGTGAGCGAGCGAGGGTGCGTGTGAGCGAGTGAGTGAGTGAGCGAGTGTGTGTGAGCGAGTGTGTGTGAGAGTGTGAGAGTGTGAGCGCGTGTGCGAGTGAGCGAGAGTGAGCGAGTGAGTGAGTGAGCGTGAGTGAGCGAGCGTGTGCGAGTGAGTGAGTGAGTGAGTGAGTGTGAGAGTGTGAGCGAGCGTGTGCGAGCGAGCGTGTGCGAGCGAGAGTGAGCGAGTGAGTGAGCGAGCGTGAGTGAGTGTGTGAGTGAGTGTGAGAGTGAGCGAGTGAGCGAGCATGTGAGCGAGTGAGTGAGCGAGCGTGCGTGTGTGAGCGAGTGTGTGTGTGCGAGCGAGTGAGTGAGCGAGTGTGTGTGAGCGAGTGTGTGTGAGAGTGTGAGAGTGTGAGCGCGTGTGCGAGTGAGTGAGTGAGTGAGTGAGTGAGTGAGTGAGTGAGTGAGTGAGTGAGTGAGTGAGTGAGTGAGTGAGTGAGTGAGTGAGTGAGTGAGTGAGTGAGTGAGTGAGTGAGTGAGTGAGTGAGTGAGTGAGTGTGTGAGTATGTGAGTGTGAGCGAGAGTGAGTGAGTGAGTGAGCGAGTGAGTGAGTGAGTGAGTGAGTGAGTGAGTGAGTGAGTGAGTGAGCGAGCGTGAGTGAGTGTGTGTGAGAGTGAGCGAGTGAGTGAGCGAGTGAGCGAGCGAGTGAGCGAGCGAGTGAGCGAGCGAGCGTGTGTGAGCGAGCGTGTGTGTGTGAGCGAGTGTGTGTGTGTGTGAGCGAGTGTGTGTGAGCGAATGTGTGTGAGCGAGTGAGTGTGTGTGTGTGTGTGTGTGTGTGTGTGTGTGTGTGTGAGCGAGTGTGTGTGTGTGTTTGAATGAGTGATTGTGTGTGAGCGAGTGTGTGAGCGAGTGTGTGAGCGAGTGAGTGAGTGTGCGAGTGTGTGTGTGTGAGCGAGTGTGTGTGTGTGTGTTTGAGTGAGTGAGCGAGTGAGCGAGTGAGTGTGTGAGTGAGTCTCTTACAGTAACTCTGCTTTTCTTCCAGCTGTATTGACGAGTGGTTTGAAGTGAACCGATCGTGTCCTGAACATCCTTCAGATTAACAGCGCCTCTCTCACCTTTGCACAGGTAACACACTGGTAATGCATGTGCATTTAAATCAAAATTGACACCGTTTTAAAATAAAAGTCCTCGTGATTGTTTGTGATTCATCAGCACGTTACATAACATGTTATTATAATGTCACAGGTTAAATGCATTGCAGATGCATATTGCATGAGTCATTTTATATCGTGGGATTATTATATTTCATGATATTACACTATTTTTGCAACCAAAATGCTATTATTCTTTAACATGAAAGGTGCTTCACCTGTTTTTAATTGTATCTTGATGATTATTCTTTAATGAATGTGCAAAGTCAGTATAAACAGCTTCACATTATGAAAAAACGAAGTCTCTAGCTGAAACGGTGTCATGTTATCTTACAGCATGCACATATTATTTTAAGGCAAGACACTGCAGTTGAATAGGGTAAAAAAAAAAAAGAACTAATAGATATCAGATATCAGATATCGGATACTTCCCCAGCTGTGTGATTGCATTACAAATCACAAGCATTTTTTGTATTACGTGTTTTCCGAAATGTTATATTTAAATATGCAAGCAAGGCATTATCTATTTAAACATGCACTATTTTGCATATATTTCCAGAAGGTAAATCTGAACATTGGATAAAAATTCCAGTTTGATTTTGTTGACAAATTAAAGGGATTTCTCTTTTTATCACTCCATAAATCAAAAAATACTGTCAACAGCCGGAAAACACATTTTCAACATATTTTTATGAATATGTTGTTTAAAAGTCAGGTGAATAATATATAAACAAACCCTTCAGAATATAGAGAGGAATAAAACTGCAAAGTTTGCTGTATGTAAGTGCTGCTGAAGTGAACAAAGAAACTCATTTTGAGAAAACAGACTTTAAAGATATGAATTGTAATTGAAATCTACAGATGCAAATAGATAAAATGTAATCAAATAAATGTGTATTTTAGATGTTTTCTTTCCACTAAGTCTGAAACAACACATTATGGAAAGCCAAATGGCTCAAAATCTCAAAACTGACCAGTGCATGAAAATCAGTGTTTCTGCCTGTAGAGTCTGGCTTTAAATCATGCTAATGCTCTTTAATCGCTGCGTTGTGTTTCATGTCTCCAGCCTCCTGGTCGTGAGAAGCGACGCTATGTGAATTCTCTTCCTCCTCATAGACACTGTGATTTTGGTCTCGGGACGGCCTGATCGCCGAACGCCCCTCTCTTCTCCCTCCCTAGTCGCCATATAAACCCTAGCGTGCCAAAACTCATTCAGGGAAACTCTTTCCACATCACAGAGCTTCTACTCCAGCGCACCATTGTCCAATCAGGATCTAGCAGAAGTTGATTTCATTGGCTGTTTGTTGACGTCTCTGATTGGCCGGACTCAGGGTCAGCTGACTGTGTGGATGATTATCGGACGATCGGGGTCGATTGTTCTCTGTTAAATGGGACTGTGTCTCTCAGTGCCTTAATTTTCAGATCCCAAGAGCCGAAGCGACGGCTGCGTTTGGGATGTTCTTCAGAGGAAGGGCTCGAAGGACTCGGAGAAAGACGCCTGGATGTGACGGGACGTGAGCCCTGATTCAGGTCGGCCCTGAGCCATACTGAGCCATTATTTCTCTCTCTCTCTCGCTTCCCGGATGGTGAAATGTCCCGTGCATCTCGAGTCTCGGATCAAGATTCACTGTCTCAAGATCATTTTTGCAAGTGCATCACGTTTTGTTTGGGTTGAGACAAATCTGGGCCTTAATTCAACACACCACTGACTTCTGTCTGTGTATGTAGAATGAATCTCATCAAAACGTCAAAATCAGAAGAAAAAAAATACGAAATTATATTTTGCATGAAGAAAATGAAGATTAATATAATGCAATTATTTTATTAATATCTGAATAATTTTAATGGCAGTATAACAAATACTACCATGAGGAATTAATACATTACAATTTAAACAATAAATAATATATATAATTTAAATGATATTCATTGTACTGCTCTTAATTTATGCTGATTTTAATTAAAATAATTGCATTATATTATTTTATATATATATATATATATATATATATTATAATATGTATATTTAAATTTAAATACATTTATATAAATTGAATGGCTGCACAACAAATACTATCATGGTGAATAAATACATCACAATTTAAATAATAAATAAGAATTTAGATTTTTCACGATTATACACATTTTTACTCCTTTAGTATAATTATTTATGCACTGATTTATATTAATTGTACTGCTCTTAAATAAAATCATTATCATCAAAATAATGATTTTAAAAATCATTGTATTCCACTAATAAAAAATCAGCACTGAGAATAGTGAAAGTTAAATTCCATTTAAATCAGCATAAATTTAATGGCACTACAAATACTACTGTGATAAATAAATACTTTAGAATTTAAATAATAAATAATCATTTAAATTCCTTTTTTAGGATTTAGATTTTTCACTTTACAACACATATTTTCATGACAGTTATACACATTTTTCCCCTTCAGTACAAGTATTTATACACCATGATTCATGATATTTTTGTACTGCTTTTAATTTATACTGATTTTAAAACAATCATTGTATTCCAGTTCTAAAAGTCATCACTGGGAATAATAAATAATAATAAAAAGAAGACTAAAAAGTTAAATAATTTTAATGGCAGTACAACAATTTAAATAATGTCATTGTCAATACATCACTATTTATTGATATATAATTCGATTTATTGAAAATAAAATAAAAAATAAATAATGTTAATGTCTTAAGGGTCCTAAAATGCACTTCTTTTCCTTTACGTAAAATATAATTTTAATAATTTCTTTTGATTTTGTGATGAAAAATGACATTCCTTGACAGGTTTTGTTAAGACTCACCCTTTATGTTTAAAAACATTGTACATGCGTCAAGAGACAAACATGTGATGTCATATGATCATCCATCAGGCCAAATGAATCTCATATTTCACCTTAAATCAAGGAAATGAATTTTTAGGATTAATAAAATTTGTCACATACTTTCACGACAATTACACATAGTATTTATATATCATTGTAGTATCTGTTGTACTGCTCTTAATTTGTGCTGATTTAAATTTTAAAAATCCAGTAATAAACACTGAAAATAATATAAAACAAAAGGAAAACTCAAAAGCAAAATGTTCAGATGCATTACAGCAGTGGTGCAAAATGTGCCTGATTGTTGTGAAAATAACGTCACAAATCTTAATACTCCTAAAAATACTATCATCTTCATGTAAAACAATTTCTTCTGCTATTTGTGATGAAATGTGATTCAGGCGAATAATTCTCTCGGTGTTTGTTTTATATTCACCAGGTTTATTTCTCTTATGATCTTTGGGATTTTATCACCAGTTTCTCAATCTGTTTAATGTAAATCATAGAGTCAGAACGGCACGTGTGTGAGTGAATGTGAGTGTGAGAGTGTGAGTGAGTGAATGTGAGTGTGAGTGAGTGAGTGAGTGTGTGAATGTGAGTGAGTGTGTGAATGTGAGTGAGTGTGTGAATGAATGTGAGTGTGTGAATGTGAGTGAGTGTGTGAATGTGAGAGTGTGAGTGAATGTGTGTGAGTGAATGTGTGTGAGTGAATGTGAGTGAGTGAATGTGAGTGAGTGAATGTGAGTGAGTGTGAGTGAGTGAATGTGAGTGAATGTGAGTGAGTGAGTGTGAGTGAGTGTGAGTGAGTGAGTGAGTGAGTGTGTGAGTGTGTGAGTGTGAGTGAGTGTGAGTGAGTGAATGTGAGTGAGTGAGTGTGAGTGAGTGTGTGAATGTGAGTGAGTGTGTGAATGAATGTGAGTGTGTGAATGTGTGTGTGTGAATGTGAGAGTGTGTGTGAGTATGAGTGAATGTGTGAGTGAGTGAATGTGTGTGAGTGAATGTGTGTGAGTGAATGTGAGTGTGTGAATGTGAGTGAGTGTGTGAATGAATGTGTGTGAATGTGTGTGAGTGTGTGAATATGAGAGTGTGTGTGAGTATGAGTGAATGTGTGTGTGAGTGAGTGAATGTGAGTGAGTGAGTGTGAGTGAGTGAATGTGAGTGAGTGAGTGTGTGATTGATTGATTGATTGATATCATAAACACTCTGGGTCACATTTCAGCTGCTTTTCCCAAGATCCACGTCATAATATTTTGGAGAAAGGTGGCCGTTCTCTAAGGTTTGATGCTTCAGACGGACGCGCTGCTTACTAGTTTTGTAAAGTTACTAATCGCAGATTTGACAAGGGATTTTTTTTTATGGTTAGAGATTTACACTCATTCTCAGTCTTAAGTAAAGCCTCAAGCGGTTGAGTTTATCTGAAGGGTTAGTTTTGGTCAGCTGGTGTTGAATTTGACCTGTGGACTAGTCATGACCCGCTGAAGCTGAATTGGACTTCAGAGTATTAACATAGTCGACCCGGCATATCAAAGTGCCATAATAGCTTTAAAATGCTGCTAATCATGTATGTTGATGGAAATGAGAACCGGTTTCAATGTGAGGCCGCGTCACGTTCATTTCTGCAGGTTTTCTGATCACATATGAGAAGAGATGAGAAGATAAACAAGTTGCATGGGAAACACCATTTTTAAAAAGCCTTACCAGATATTAGATCATTTGCAAAACTTCTTTTACGAGATATAATTTAGGTAATTAATAAATCCACGCTGATATTCTTTGACATTTTGCTGCTTTGTGCAAACGTCTGTTTCCAGCAGATCTGAGCCTGATGCATCCGACCGGATCCATCCGTGAATGTCAAAGCTTTTGATACACACTGTTTGTTTGTTTAATTTGCTACCAAACTCCATCAGGTAACGATCTGTCTGATCTAGCTTCTCATCCTTGCAGCAGTCGAGAGGAACATAAGTAGTTACGCAACTTCCTGAAGAGATGCAAAGGAAGCAAACAGAAGCTTGTATGTGTCGGATCTCAATGTGAAAGTTTAACAGTGGCCACCCGGATGATCATAAGGGTTTTTTAATGATTTCGAGATATTGTGGCATTCCATATGTGTAAAAAACTATGTACAGAGATAATGAGATTAAAAAAAGATAAATCTTTTGAAGCACAGATCTTTACATACTTGTCTGGATGTCCCTCTGTGTGTGTGTGTGTTTGTGTGTAACTCTGTGTGTATGTGTTTGTTTGTGTGTGTGTGTGTGTGTGTGTGTTTGTGTTTTTGTGTGTGTGTGTGAGAGAGAGAGAGAGAGAGAGATTTATTTGCAATGTTTTTAATCATCTACTTGACTACAATGACTGAATGCATGCAATAATTTCTCAGATTGATAAAAGCACCATTATAAGTGTTCAAGTATCGCTCTTTTCAGAGCAAATACATGAATCTATACAATTTATTAAAAATCCTGTTAACACTTGAAGCCTATGTATAATGCATTATAAGACAGTCATAATGTGTATTGTAATGCATTATATATTTTCATGAATAATTGTAACCAAAGTTAAAAATGCATTATATTTGCAGATTCCTTGTCATGTTCCTGGGTTGTTTGTTGTGTGTTTTAATGCATTTTACTTTCTAAAAGTGTAACAATGAACAAAGTATTGTACAATTATTCATGAGATCATGCAATGCATTAGAAGGTGCATTACATTATATTTTAAAATGCATTATATAAAAAGTAGGGATGCACCGATGTCACTTTTTCCGGAACGAGTCTGATACCGATATTTTCATTTTTGGTACTTGCCGAAACCATACCTGTATTTTCATTGCATTTATATTTAAATACACTGGGTAGAGAAACCAAATTATATTTTCTAAAATATAAGTTGCGTTTTTTATTATCTGAAATGTGCTGCGACTTGTATATTCCAAAGCGACGTCAAGCAAGCCAAACATTTGTGTTGGTGCAGAATGAGAGACACATAAAGCCCAGCGCATTCACACAGGCTGCGAGTTTCACTTAAGCTTTAAATGAAGTTGTATACGTTTGCCGTGTAAAATGTTGTTTATAGTGAATGCCCCTATAATTTGTTTGTTTTTAGTCCAAATGATGCATGTGCTAATGGAACGAACAGCAATCAAGATCATGCAACAGCGCGCGCGCGCTCTCTCTCGCTCGCTTTCTCTCTCCTTGCCGTCCGTCAAGTAGCTTTTAATAACTTGTGCATTGGTTTACTTACTTGCTTTTGACATTCCCGGCCGATCTATAAACTTTCCAGTGCTGTCTGTGATATTCACTCGACAAGCTTGCGCATCTGTGCCGCTGCGCACTCAATCCACTACGCTTATTATCTCGCGCACATCAGCTATACAGGCGTGAATGTTTAACATTATACTGATTACATACATGCATAGATATCCTTAATCTCTAATAACTCCATTCTGCTCTGTTTGTTCGGTTGTCGGTGGTTCTTTGTCTGGATACAGCACTCTTCACACGCCGTGTGCTTTTGGTATTGGAGCATTTTAATTAGTACAGGAGTGCAGTATCGGCCCGATATCGGTATTGTATCGGTGCATCCCTATTAAAAAGCCTAAAGTATTCCCTAAGAGTTTCATCTGAGTATGATTGTATAAAACCTGCGTCAGAGCGACAGTAATAAACCTGAAAGCCTTGAATGGGTTTTGCCTTCACAGCCAGTGGTGCTTCTGATACTGAAGTAAACCAGTGTCTGTGGAATGACACCAACTTCCTTTTCTCACAGATTTTTTTTTTCTCAAATCACGTGTTTTAATGTTTCTTCTCAGTGGAAGCGAAGCCGCTTGTCACCCTCATAGAGTTGTTCTTCTTCTTCAGAAACCCGGCTTCCTTTAATGCTGTGAACGAACCAGAAAATGTGGAAATGTGTGAAACTGGAAGACCTGATCTGCTCACGTAAGGTTAGTTAAGAGGGAAAACTAGGGCTCTGTTCCAAAACCTAGTGAGCTGCCTTGTAAGACACCTCATTAGTGAGTGATCTGGAACAATCTGCGTAAGCAGTGATACTCAACTGAATAGATTTCAATTGAGTTAATGTGATGAAATACATTGCACACACCAATACTGCGTAAAATAGTTGATTTGTGTTGTATTATACTGAGCCATTTTATCACTACTCTTGTTGACATTTCCACCATCTTTGGTGGAGCTTGTCGCAATGCATTATGAGATTGACTTATGCAATGCTTTAAAATCTGGCGAAACTGAGGTGTCTTTGAGGGCAGAATAATCTTTTATTACAGCTTTTATGCCATTAAAATGATGCAAACTCTAGTTTTTGGATCAAATCGCAGATCTTACTTGACTTCCTTCAGTGTAGTGTTGTTAGTCAGGCCTTCAGACATCTCTTTGGCTCCATGAATGGTGAACTCATTTTCTATTAGCCTATAGAGAGTTGAATGGATTATTCAATCTGTCAGTGCAAAGATATTGTGCATACAGAGCTGAAGTGCATTATTTGGCATATTGTTGATCAAAATATAAACGCGTTGATCAAAATATAAATGACATCCTGATCTAATAGTTAATCAATTACCAAGCATTATTAATCTTAGTGTATGTTTAGTTGTCTTACAGCACACAGGTGAATATCTCGGGTATGTTTAACCAATTATTTAAATTGTTTCACACATTTTGCATTTGCAGCAGACATGCATTGAGCTTTCTGAGTGATTTTTGAGTCACCACATTGAATATTGTCCACATATAATAATGTCCATAGGCTACAGTGCATTTTCATTAAATTTTTCTCAAGCAAAGCATGCAAGATGCAGCAAAAAAATAGTATTTGCATCATTGCATTTGCACTATTTGTTTATGCACAAAGTGAATACTGTAAACTTTTAAATCAGACACCAAAATGAGCATGCGCCATGTGTAAAGCAGATATTACTGTGCATTACTGAAATAATGAGGTATAATCGATCATACATCAGATGCGTCAGAGCAGAGTTGGATCTGAAGGCATCAGCAAAGTCCGACGCTGCATCATCAGAGATTTTGTTCTGTATCAACCTGAAAAATAAGCATATTAAATAAGAATTCATCTGGGAACAATCATTAAATCTTTTTAATTTCACATGCATGAGAAAATATGACATTCAGTCGTACCAGAAGATGTGAAGGCTTTTGTTTTCCTTCAGTGCTTTTGCCAGACTTCTTCCACCGTGAGACGTAATGCCATTGGCAGAGAGACTAAACAGCAATGAAATAATCAATCTCAGATTGCTCGTTCTTTATCTGACAGATGAATTTCTCAGAATGGAGACAGGAGAGTCATTTGATGATGCAAGACTTACCTGAGGTTGGTCAGGTTTGGGTGATTCTTCAGAGCCTCTGCAAACGCATCTGCGCCCTCGTCACCGATGGTGTTTCCCCACATTCTGCAAGCAATTAATTTAATTTCACCAAACTTTTACCATAGTTTTGGATCATTTCTGTAAAATTCAGGACAAAAACACAGGAATTCCAAAGAAAAATATGCATAAAAAAGAGCAGGGTGTTGTATGATATTATGGCGACACCATTTTAAAGCCCGGGTTTAAATGTTCCTGTACATATTCTTACCCTACATCAAAGATAGATTTGCTCTTGTGAATTGCACTGGCAAGGTATTTCCCACCCACACCTGTGATGTTGTTGCAGCCGAGCCTATGGGAAGCACAAACAAGTGTAAATGAATTATGCATTCTATATATCCTGTGAAAATGTGTACGTTTACAGGTCGTTTTTAAGGTGTGCATCATCTGGAAAGCATTGCAAACTATTTTTAATCCCATCAATAAAACCATGCACACACCAGAGGAATAAGGTGCAGTCAAATCAAAACACAAATGCTCCAAAACAATAAAATGACAGACCACGAGGTTAAAAAGTCCAAATGTTGACCACATGGTCTGTCAGTAAAGATATATGGAGCAATGGATTTTTAATGCCGTATGTGTAAAAACATCTTTAAAATAGCAGATGTGCATGGATACAAAATCATAAATATCCCCAAATCATGCAGCATGTCCTCATATCACAGGGAATGTTATTAGTTAAATATTCTTCCATTATCAACATACAACAACGGGATACCTACTTGACGACCCTCAAGTGTGGACATTCTTCAATTATCTTTGCTACTAGTTTGGCTCCAACATCTGTGATGTAGTTTTTGTAAAGACTGAAAATGCAATGAAAAGAGAGTAGATTGAAGTCTATATAAAACCCAGCAACATAACATAAAGATGAACGTATGAACTCACCCCAAGACCTTAATGACTTTGTGTCTGATGAGTTCCTCTGCCAGAACCTCGATACTGCTGTCAGTGAGCTGATTCACGCAAAATCTGAAAAGGTAGGAACTTCGGTTATTGTTCAGTCTGCTGGTAATTCCATTCTAGTTCTAGTAGTTCTAGTTCTTTGGGTAAAGTCAAACCCTGCCTGGCTTTTCTTACCTTACTACTGTCATTTTGCTGAAAGAGGGTCTCAGTTGCTTCACGCCGTAATCGTTGATGTTGTTATTGTCCATGTCGACCCCCAGGTGCTTCCTACGGTGGTGGAGGACAAAGTTCAACGCGCTGCAGTCGGCAGAGTAAATGTTACAGAAGGCGATTTTTATGTAATCCGCCGATATACCGTTGGCCGTCATCTTTGCAACGTCCTCGCTGTTCGTCTCAAATATGCACCGCAGCATCCACAAGAAATTTGGCATTGCATGCACCTTGTCGCCCTCAATGTCTGTGGATGGATATCGAGGAAGGCCTTTAAGATGCGTTCTCACGCTGTTAGACAGATGAGACTTGAGCATCTTGCGCTTCTGTTTCAATGATGCCCATCTGAGTGTCCGTGTAAAGATCCTCCAGCGGCGTCTCCTCGCTCTTCGAGTACGACGTGATGAACTGAGTGTCTCTTCCCAGCTCATATCTGAGCTTCTCACAGTACTTGCTAACTGCAAAGATGCAAAAACATTAGGTGGAATATTGTCATAAATATTCAAGTGCATAAATATAGTGTCCTACAGTATGACATGCCAAAAATCTGACTAAAATCTTTTGTAACAAATTATGACTTAAGCTGGACAATAATTTTCATGGTTCCTGTATTTGTAAAATTGTATCAGTGTTGGGGAGTAGCTAGCTACAAGTAGTACTACTACTTTAATTTACGAGTAGCTTGTAGCTGGTCAAGCTACAGTTTCAGAGTAGCTTCCCCAACACTGAATTTTATATGTCATTTAAATGAAAATACTCACTGGGGTCTGTGTTAACCACTGGTATGACACTAATAGTGTCTAATGGTGTGTACCGAATTTCTTCAAACCAAGGCCGCAGATCAATGTAAGCGTCGTATGCTTCATGAAGAACGTGTACAAAATACGCTGAGCACTCCTCTCCTTTACTCTGAACCAGCTCCAGGATTTTGCGAACCTGCGTGTCCAAAAATGAGGTGAGTTGATTAATTGTGAAATATATATTGTGGATTGTGTGTGTGTATAAACATTTAATATTTAACATTTCACATTTAACAGAGTGTATGCTTGTTTTATGAAGGTAAATTTGAGACATTTTAAGACCAAGGAAAGACACACAGAGTTAGCGGCGCTTAAAAGATTGAATATACAACTTCCAACTAATCTCTATTACTTTTGAATTCGTTTTACAAAAGATAAAAAATACATAAATCTGCCCCTAGAATACGGAAATAACTTTTACTGTAGCTTCTGATCACACTGCAAAAAATGTTGTCTTGTTTTCCAATGCAAATGTCTGATTTTTTTTAACCAAGATACATTTACTTGAGAAACATAGAAAACTACAAATATCTGCCAAACGGCCTTAGAGAAATCAACTTAATTAAAAGGGAAAAAACGAGGTTTTCTGACCTCATTGGCAGATACTTGTTCTTGTTATAAGCATAAACTCACTTCACTTTGATCAGTTTCTTGGAAAGCAAAAGTAAAGGATGATTGGATATTTGTACTGGAAAACAAGATAAAAATACAGTGGAATATATTAATTTTTAGCAATGCATGCAACATTCAGTGCCATGACTATGAATTTAAGACTTTCTGTTCTGATTTAGGATCTTTTTATGGCCTTAATTTGTGGAAGGAACAGTGAATTCATATATTTCTTATGTTTTTCAGTTACTGTTACAGATGTTACTTATGTAGCATGGATCAGTGATAATGTTAGTAATCAGTAATAGTTTTCAGACTGGCATATTAATGTACCTTCAAGCATTTCTGAGGTTAGTGCTGTACCTGGTCAGTTTTGGTGCTGCTGCGCTGTATGATCTCGATGTCTTCAGTGCAGATGAAGCCGTTCATCTGGAGATTGTCCAGCACACACTGCGTGTTCTTCACCTGCTCCACCAGCAGCTCTCGGTGTGAAGTCAGCAGCTTCAGGTGAGAGTCCTCACTCCTGTAAGAGCCCATTTCACAGCAGGACACTGAACCTGGTCAGCTCTAGTAATGATGCATCCAGCCCAGGCTCTTCACAGACGTGCGTCTGAGGCGAGAAATCGGCGTCAATCAAGCGACACTGAGTTTTGCAATTACGATATATTATATTTTAGTAAAGTTTAGCCATTTCAACATGCTCGCGCAAAAGAAAACAGAAAACGAAAGCGTCGGAATCTGCGAAGGTTAAACTGACTGACCGAATGTAGTTGGTTCCGCACCTTCCATGTTAACTAGGAAGTGAAACTAAAACATGAAATCTGACCCGGATTAGTGAAAACACCCTGGATATGATCATTTCTGCCGTGCAAAGCTTGTTTGAGTGTGTTGTGTGGCGAGCACTAGGCCTTTCACGATAACAACTTTTTGTCGTGCGATATATTGCACCAGAACTAATTGCGATAAACCACATTATTGTCATTTTAAACACCATTTTATGCCACTGAACATATAATCATAATGCAAGAAGGCCTACACACTTCCAAATGACAACAAACTTTTAATTTTTAAGAATGTTTAGATCATGGAAATTAAGTTTCAAAATATTAGATACCTTGAATAAATAGTAAATAAACATTTTCTAGCAAAAAGTGCAAAGTAACAAGTAGAAAAAAAAGAAAAATGCACAAAGAACTTGTATGGAGATTTTTCCCTGACCTTCTTTTCTTCTTAAGGCTGCACACTATTGCTGAAAAACACCATCACTACTCAGCACTCAGATGTCCGTCAGATCTCTAAACTAGATCATATCTGCAGATGAAACTTTGTTTGTAGAAGCATTTTTTAAATGTGAACTAGCACCAACTACACCACGTTATGTACCAGAAGCTGCAAAAGACACAGGTGCAAGTGGAATGTACAAAACATGGTGACATTAATTTTTAAGTAAATATAATTGGTGATATATTGCGTCACCAAAAATTGAGGTCATGTACATATATTGCACATAAGTCGATATATTGATTATTGCGACAGGCCTAGCGAGGACAGAGAAATTAAACGATAAAACAATTCAACGAGCCTTCAGTAAGTCAGTCATGAGCTTTAGTGTTAGTTATGCATTTTATGAGGAGCTTATTGGGAATTAAACGCAAAACTGGTTACATTTTTACTAAACTTTACTAAATGTCGTGTTTATACCCTTACAAAAATGTACCACGGTATCGTTTCCAATAAGACACCACATTTTACATCCAACAAACAGAATCTTGTCCTAATGTTCTTTTAAAACAATTCCCCTGATAGCACACGTACATCACGGAGACGTCTGTTTGACATCTGCAAGACGTATTTTTCAGTGTTTGCTCATCTGCAATACATCTATAGGACGTTTCCTATCAGATGTCAAATAGACGTTTAGAAGATGTCTTTAAGATGTTTATGATCTAGAATGCATGTACAATCTTAGAGACATCTATCAGATGTTTGCACACAGCAGATGCTTTCCAGATGAAGTGATCTTTAACAGACGTCTTGCAGATGTACGTGTGTTATCTGGGATATGAATTTTAAAAACGTTTGTGAAAGTTGAGACGTTCCCTTGAAAGGTTGTGACTCAGATAGCACACGTACATCTGCAAGACGTCTGTTAAAGATCACTTCATCTGGAAAGCATCAAACATCTGATAGACGTCTCTAAGATGTCAGTTTTACATGCATTCTAAATCATAAACATCTTAAAGACATCTTCTAAACGTCTATTTGACATCTGATAGGAAATGTCTTCTAGATGTATTGCAGATGAGCAAACACTCTAAAAAATACGTCTTGAAGATGTCAAACAGACGTCTCCGTGATGTACGTGTGCTATTGATAAGTGTTAAGACAAAACATTTATGAAGTAATGTTTATGGAATGCTCTTATTACTTTATTAATATTTGATACATTTTCATAACACTGAGAAAACGTTCTTAGAACAACATTCATTGAACGTCTTCTTCATGGTGTTATTTTTACTTGATGAATGTTCTGAGGTCAACATTCTCGGAATCCTTGAGATGTTGTTCGTACTTGATAAACTTTCCAAGAAACATTTTTGTAACATTCTAATCACAAAAAATGACATTTTAACGTTCTTGGAATATAAAAAAAAAACAAACAATAAATATTAAAAACATTAAATATTAAAAAAACATTCACATGATGATATATTTTGGGTGATAAAGTTAGTAGAATGTTGTCAGAAACGTTTTTGTAACCTTAAAATAACGTTATAACCACAACAAGAAAACTGGACATTGTAGCATTCTTAGAATATTAAAAAAAAAAAAACATTCAATATTAAAAAATATTTAATATTAAAAACATTAAATATTCACATTAAATATAAAAAAATACATTCACGTTATATTTTAGGTGATAAAGTTAGTAGAATGTTGTAAAAAAAAAAAATTGTAACATTTAAATAACTTTACAAACCAAATTTCACAAAAAGCTCATGGACGTAATTATAATATAAGTCAGACACTGAAGTGAGTTGCTATATTTGTCACTCTTCTGAGGAAGGTTCATTCACTTGTTTGAGAGTGAGAGACATTTTGGTCCGATTTTTTTAATGTTCATCCGATCTCATTTTAAAAATGAATTTTCTTTCTGTTTTAAAGATGTTTTCTTTGGATTGTTTCACTACTCAAAAGACAATATAGGAAAATATAACTTCATTTGTGTTTCCTGCAAGCTAAATTTAACATAGGCCTACATAAACAAAAATCCGGCTATAAACCTCTTTTTTTTTATTTATTCAAAGATCTAGACAAGTACATGGAAACTAACCAAAGTTCTGTTAATCCTAAAGCAGTCAAAACTGCATCTCTATAGTCATACACTTTTAACTATAATGGGTAATTTTCTTAAGAGATTTGTGTGTAAAGTTTTTTTTCTTTTTGTTTTTATAACTGTACTGCCTTAATGGTTTGATGTTTTCTACAGTTTAATATATATATATTTTTTTAAATCAGCAGTACGCGCTCCGAAGTCCTGATCTGAATAATGGTTCGCGAACCTGCTCAGAATCATTCGATTCACGAATCCACTCCGAAGTCCCGATCTAAATCAAATGATTCACGAATCCGCTCAGAAGTCCCGATCTAAATCAAATGACTCGTACTCCGCGCTCTGAAGTCCCGATCTAAATTAAATGATTCACGAATCCGCTCCGAAGTCCCAATCTAAATCAAATGATTCATGCTCCGCGCTCTGAAGTCCCGATCTAAATCAAATGATTCACGAATCCACTCCGAAGTCCCGATCTAAATCAAATGATTCACGAATCCGCTCCGAAGTCCCAATCTAAATCAAATGATTCATGCTCCGCGCTCTGAAGTCCCGATCTAAATCAAATGATTCGCGCTTCGAAGTCCCGAACTGAATCAAATGATTCGTGATCCGCGAAGTCCCGAACTGAATAAAATGATTTGCGATATGCGATTTGAAGTCCCGATCTAAATCAAATGATTCATGCTCCGCGCTCCAAAGTCCCGATCTAAATCAAATGATTCATGCTCCGCGCTCCGAAGTCCCAAACTGAATCAAATGATTTGCGATCCGCGCTCCGAAGTCCCGAACTGAATCAAATTATTCGCGATCCGCGCTCCGAAGTCCCAAACTGAATCAAATGATTCGCGCTCCAAAGTCTCGAACTGAATCAAATGATTCGCGATCCGCGAAGTGTGCTGTACATGTGGAAGAATTGACAATAAAGCAGACTTGACTTGACTTGACTTGAAAAAATGATTCGTGCTCCGAAGTCCCGAACTGAATCAAATGATTTATGATCCGCGCTCCAAAGTCCCGAACTGAATCAAATGATTCGCGATCCGCGAAGGAATAAAAAGATTTGCGAGATGCACTCTAGAGTCCCGATCGGAATCGAAAGATTCCCAACTCACACTCAGAAGTCCCGATCTGAATCAAATGATTTGCAATATGTGCTCCGAAGTCCCGATCTGAATCATTCGCGATACGCGCTCCGAAGTCCCGATCTGAATCAAATGATTTGCAATATGTGCTCCGAAGTCCCGATCTGAATCATTCGAGTTACACGATCCAGAGTACCGATCAGAATCAAATGATTTGCAATATGTGCTCCGAAGTCCCGATCTGAATCATTCGAGTTACACGATCCAGAGTACCGATCAGAATCAAATGATTTGCAATATGTGCTCCGAAGTCCCGATCTGAATCATTCGCGAT